TTGTACCTCCATTCTTGTTGCTCTTCTCCAAATCATTCACCACCGTTGACCTACGCACAGTGCCCTCTAAGCAAAAGATAACTTCGTGCATTTCACTGACCAGGCACAGCGACCCTTTGTGGTACCCTCTCCTCAGAGAAGCTACTCTCTTCACCATCCACCACCACTACTACTACTACCACTACAAGAATTGGTAATTGGTCAGTTTCCCTATTATATGCTGTTTTAAAGCCCTTTGTAGTTTTTACTTCATAGTATGTATTACAATTTGAAATTTCATACTTGTTATGTGATTTTCCAATTGCTATTGATTTCACCCAATATCTTCTAAGTCCCATGATAGCATAAACCAGTACTGTTTTGTTTATTATTATGCCCTAGGGACCCAGCAAGAGGCTAGACACAGAATAGATGCTCAATAAACACAATTACCAAAGAAAAATGCATTTATCCATGAATGAATGACTAAGTATAAAGAATTAAATATAAAGGATAGAAAGTAAAAGAGTCATAATACATTTCAACATAAGAAAAACGCTGGAATAATCAAATTTGTTCAACAGTGAATTTGACTGCATATATGGGAATATATATAAAATAAGACAAAAACAGAACTCATTGCCATTGAGTTGGTCCCAACTCATAACGACCCCTTCTTGGGTTTCTGAGGTGGTATTTCTATGGAAGTAGATTGCCCCATCTTCCTTGCGAGGAGTGGCTGCTGGGTTTGAACCGCCAGCCTCTGGTTAGCAGTCAAATGCCTTAGGCACTGCACCCCCAGAGCTCCTTTGTGATACATATAATCCCCATTTACAATGGGGAAGCTGTTGCAAAGGCTCAGAAGGGTGAAGTGATTTGCCCAAGGTCACACAGCTAGGAAGCAGCAGGGTTTTGAGGAGTAGGAAAAAGGATCTGTCTCATTTTCCACATGAGGAAACAAATCCTCATGCCAGGAAGCTTGTGCTGGGAGATGTTAAAGGCAGTAACATTGCTGTGTGCTGGGGCGGGCTGGGTGTGTCCCCTGCAGGGTCAGCAATTGACAATGCCACAAGATGGACACTGTCATTATTTCCCTTTTACCACAGAGGAGTGAGGCCAGAGAGCTGCCACCCCTGGCTATTGCTATTGATTTCACCCAGTATCTTCTAAGTCCCATTA